ATTGTGCCAAAGTGGAAATTTATTTTTACATATAGGAAGCAAACGTTTACAGAGCGAATACCAAACAAGAAAGCAAATTGATTTCCTTAAGGATACAAGTATGAAAACAAAGGGATTATGCTATGAGTATAATTTTTTGATGCCTAGGAAAACCTTCTGGACGCATTTGGGCTTTTTGTGCCAAAAAGCCTACTTTACATCTACTTACTTATCACTACTTTTCTTTTATATTTATTATCAAAAATAAAGTGATAATATTTAAAATATTTAGAATAATCTTAATATATTTTTTTTAACTATTTACTTTAATTGTAAAAATATATGATCTGCTTTTTATTTTTATTAAAATTATTTATATTACATTATATCTATTTGTCATTAGATTTTCTATTACTTTAATTAAGATATTTAAACCATCAACTTCTAACTTAGCAAATGTCAATTTAAATAATTTTAAAAAAGAATTTAGATTAAACTTTATATGTCCAGCAATTATAAATGAATGTTATTTTATTATGATAGCCTATTATTACACATCATGTTAAATAAGCTATTATTAATTTATCTAAAATAATTATTAGCATAAATAATTGAATATTTTTCTCTAACCATATAAAAGCAAATAATTATGCACTAATAAACTAACCATATCAGCTCTTTTTTTAAATATTTCACTCTCTTTAATAAGATAGTTTATCTGAAAATAATTAATAATTAAAAGATATTTAAATTGAAATTAAAATAAAATAATTTTTAATTATAACTTACTTGACAAGAAAATATATCATTACATATTCTAAAAATATAAACTTTATAAAGAGACTTAAAAAATGTATCTTCTTAATATAATATATTAAAATTAGTTTTTTAATTAAGTTTAATAAAAAATTTATCTCTTATTATGATAAAGGAAATAATTAAACTTGTTGAGTAAAATTCCAAAATAAATGTATTTTAATATCTAAAGAATTATTTTTTTCTGAGCAAATTATATTTTTTTTTACCAAGTATTTCAATAGTAAACTTGGCTTTTTCTATGCATTTTCTAAATTTATTAATTATAAAAAGTGTTAATTAAAAATTAATATATATTATAAGATGTATAATAAACTTGTAAAATTCATATTTATCATTAATATGTATATTTCAATTAGTTACTTTTTAATCTTATTCCTTTACAGTTTAATTACTAGTATTAAATCACATAGTTTTACATAAAAGCATGTCACTTCATTGAGAGTTAAAATTTTTATTTCAGATACATAATTTTTCCAAACTTAACAAAAAATAAACTGATAATTAATTTTTTAATATATTGTTGAATTGCTACTTTTCAATCAAATTTAGGATTTTTACTTTATTTTAATATATAAAATATAAACTTTAATTAGTTAAATTTTATTAAATATTAACTTACAGTCAGGGACCCCGTAAAAATTCTTTCGACTTTATTTTTCGATTTGTTTAAAAATTTCGTTTATAATTTTAGCCAAAATTAAAAAGAAATTTTATTATTTGCGATTGAAATACAAAATATTAAGCATTCGAAGAGAATTTTGACAGATTTTCTCTATCTTCAAAATATTATTCTACACTACAAGAAAGAAAGTGGTAACCAAATATAATCTAAAGCAATTTGACTTAAAACAATTATGATTTCATAAAATTTCCGATTTTTCGAAAATTTTTACGGGTCCTTGATCCCATCTCAAAAATATATACCTTGCATACTTTTATATAAATAAGCAAGCCAAAATTTTCGAAAAGTTCTTGCTTGAAAAGAACCTTTATCATAAACTTTTTTCAAGCACGTCACTTGCTTGTAATTAATTTTTTTTAAAAAAAATGACGTTGATAAAATAAGAAAAGATAAAATAAATAAGCAGTGTACGAAGGGAAAAATGGGCAATGGCTGAAGATTTTGAGTAGAAGAGCTAGATGAAGAAGACAAGGAGGAGAAGGCGAGGCTGGAAAAAAAAGAAGAGAAGTTAGAAAAAAATGAAGGACAAGTGGGAAAATGTAGTAGCAGAAGGTTAAGAAACATCATGAAGTCAAAGAAAAAGGTAACGAATAAATTAGTTGAGGTTTGGGCAGAAAACAGAAACATGAAGAGATTCAAAGTAAGTTATTTGTTTACAAATCTGTTGTTGATTACATTATTATATGTTTTATTAAAAAGCATACTTATAGATTTATTCATTTCCCTAATAAGGTTCTTCTGATTTACTCAAGAGTTAATTGAATAAAATTAAGGATGTTGGATCCAGTGTTGGCCAACTGGACCAAATTGGACTAATTGGACTTATAAAACTGGACCATTGGACTTATAATTCCAGTAACTGGACTTATAGTCCAAGTCCTGTCAAAAATAACTGGACTTACCAACACTGCGTCCCACGACAAGAGTTAGAATCTTAATCCAGTATCTTAAACCATGTTCAAGGGAAGTCGAAAAGGCGTTTGTGATACGTTGAATGGAATAACGTTACAATTAAAGATTACTAGTATGCTTCCGTACATGTACTCCTCAACATGAATATTAAAGGTGCTACATCTTACGCTGTTGATGCAAGGAAGAAGAGTGTTGGTCCCACATCGATACAGCGTGCATATGATTCTTTGAATAAGGTCTACCGACATTGAAGGAGGCACCTTCCTTATGATTAAGAATCTGAGTCACAAGCTTTGTGCATGTTCTATAATCTATTTTAGAATCGCCAAAAAAGAACGCAAGATAAAGATAAAGAAAATGTACCTCCGTCAAAAAAGAAAATAAGAATACTAGAACACGAGATAGTGGATTTAAGAAAGCAGGTGGCAACACTGTCAGTGTTGGGCAATTGGACCAAATTGGACTAATTGGACTTATAAACTGGATAATTGGATATATAAGCCCAGTGACTGGACTTATAGTTCAAGTCCGGTCAAAAATAAAGGGTATAATACCGAAGATAATCGTCTTAAATGTTTTAAAATCATTTGAGGAACATTATTTGGCCTTTAGAGAAGATTAGTAATAAAGACAAAACTTCTAGCAATGGTGAGGGCCCCGGAATATGATGATTGAAACTTCATCGTGATAATTGATTTGATATCTTCGTATTCAGGGACCCTCGATGGTGTAGTAACGGGACATATTGAATTTTCTACATTATTATTCCTACTTGAAATAAAAAATGAGATCGGAACTGGTCGTTGCGATTCTACAACACAAAAGGGATTGTCAAATGTTCGGCGCTGGCTCAAGAAAAGTTTAGGCATTTTCGAAGTAGTTGTAATTTTCCATCGATAATAATTGCCCCTTGGATATGCATTCTTGGTTTGGTTTATCTGAAAAAGGATTAATCGATCCTATCACTCCTTTCATACCTTTAGTACCATTTCACCACTATAGCTAGTGATGTGCATTTTATGCTTCCAATGATGTAAAAATTGAATCGGAATCATCCAATCCAAATGGTTTTATTAGAAAATTATGCTTCCAAACCTTCCAAAGGTGCTTCTAATAGTGCTTTCAATCCGCCAAGAGCACATCACTAACTATACAAGGGATCACTTCGAAGCATTGTCTTACATTTAATAACAAAAAAAATTATTATGGAGGGCTAACACTATGTGAAGATCTTCAACATTTTTACCTCTTTCTCCGAGAATTTCAAAATGATAAGATGATGGATGTTTCATTCACTTATGATGACTGCTTATGGAGGGATCATAACAAGTACATGACGACTCAGTATTGGCCAATTGGACTAACGGGAAATAAAACTGGACGATTGAACGTGACTTATAGTCCAAGCCCAACACTGGCTACGACCAGTGTTGGTTAACTGGATTGAAGACCATTGGACTTATAATTCCAGTAACTGGACTTATAAAGGTGGCCAACACTGGCTACGACAGATGATGAAATGTACAATGCACATAAATTGTGCTGAATATCGGATATGCATCAAGACTACTTTATGCAAGCGAAACGGTGATTAAAGAATGATAGTTTGTTGTGATAGGGGAGAATCATATGTGATGTCGAAATGGAATTTATTTGCTTCATGATGTTTGGATAATTTGAATTTGATTGTTGCGGAGAACATCAAATCATCTGCTCACGCTACGATTGGCTGGTATACTTATTTGTCACATACCAAAGCGTGATGAATAAACCAAACCCACTGAAAACAATCCTAACCCTAACCCTAATTAATCTCCAGCCAATTATAGCGTAGTAAGTGAATGCCAACATGGTTGTTTTATTGGATAAATCTCACGATTATACTTGTTGAATGAATGGATAATAGTTATGAAATTTCTTAAAGGAATAATCAGTTTGGGAAAAAGCGTATTCATAGCTTTTATTGGTCTGAAGTTGCTGGGTACTGATGAATTATAAAAAATATTACATAGCCCAATTGGTGCTGAAAATGGTAGAGGTTAGAATCGGTTTAAAATCTTTAACTGGTTAATCACCGGTTAAAATTTTTTAACCGGTTAGTTAACCAATTAATTAACTAGTTCCAACCATCAGAAAAAATAGTTGTAATAATTTTCCCGAATTCCTTTAGATCAAAGGCTATTCAGCTAAAGAAAAAATCCGAAATCTGATTGGCCGATCATCTCGTGATTTATAGGACCTGGAACACTCCTAGAACTATCGAATTTAGCCGTCCACGCTGATCGGGTCTAACCGAATAATGACATCGGAAAAAATTCAGTATTTTCACCCCGAAGTTCTTTGAACAAGGGGATAATCGAATAAAAATGAATTTGGATTTATTTAGAGTATACTATTGCTTAAATCAGCTATAAATCATTAATAAATCGATAAATAGCTATAATCAAGTATAATTATTATGTCATTCAGTCATCAAACGGGTTTTAATGGTACTTATGAGGAGTATTATGAATATATTGGTTTGCGCCACATTATGAATGGTGAAACTCCATCCGACTGGAAAAATAGGATTTGGGATCGTCTAATGTATTTTCGAAATAATAATTATTATACAGTGGCGATCAAAAATAACGCATCACTGGAATAAAAATCGAAAACTATTAATATCACGTGATCTATCGATGA